CCATTTAAAAAAACAAAACAAAACAAATTTCACACAAAATATTAATCTCTAAAATGTCGGTACTTTAGCCAATTCGAAACATACTAGTATCAGTGTTGTCAAATTCACATTTGATTTTAATTTGGGAAAAGTGCCATTTTGATTAAGAAAATCGATTTTGATCTCCAATCCAAGTGAATGTACAGACAAATATCACTAAAATTGCTGTTTTAGAAAAATAACGATATGATAATAACAGCGTTGTTATAATATTGAGCACTTGAACGGTTTTCATTAAATTAGTTTAGGTTTGATTGCGACTGAACAACCATGTTTGAGTCGACCATTTAACCAAGTCACTAAAAGTGTTTGGGACCATCAACATCTTTTGATACATCTATTATCCAAATTTCATAAAACTCTAAAACTAGTTAATATATCAATCCCTATTATCAATTATTTGTTTCAATTATTTTCTACTTTAAATTTTGGCGCCAACCCTACCAAATAATATATTCCCCTTTCGTTGTCATCTTATGCAAACTAGAATATGATCTGCGCATCGCAAGTATATTTAGAATATTATACTTATGTATGCTAAAACAACCAATTTTTTATAGATACAAAATAATATTTGATTTTAAATAAAATAACTATTATTTTTATTTAGTATTAATAATGGTTAAAATATGAAGTGATTATCAATGACTTCGATATCGATTGTTTCCGTTAATTTTGTTTTTCACTTTATTACGTACATATATGTGACTATTATATGAATTATGTTATCGAAAACCAATTCTGATTTAGAAGATAAAATTTATCAGTCATTTTTTACTCTATCTTTATAGTAAGATGACTTTCATTTATTTTTGTCATTTATCTCCGTCTCGTGAGTTTATATATATTTTGATTTTTGTAGATCGTAGAGAAATATTTGAGATTTTGTGATACTATTTGTTGAAAGTTGGTCTTCGTAATAGGTTGATAAATAAAAATATTAAGATAATTTTTTAAGTTTAATGTGTGGTTAAAAAGAAAGTTGGATTGAATGTAAGATTTTTTTTTTGAGCTACAAAACCTTTTAATAAGAAAAAAACCTTTCATATTTCATAAAATATATAGATATTAAAAATAATATAGAAAATATTCTTTTTCTTTTCACATTTTAGAAAACATATGGTTAAGTCAGTTGATTTTTACTAAATGTTTCAACTATAAATTCATAAACATATTTGAGTTTTTTTTTTAATATGAATGAAAATAAAACTAATAAATCTAAGACTATACAAG